CTGGCGAAGGGTACAAACACACAGCATATTCAAGATAAAACTGCCTACTTTCAGAAGCTGGTACATTTTTATTACATTAAAGAAAAAGGGTTAGAAATTCCTTTTGTCTGCAGTGTTAGCTGCTTATGGAAAGAAATATTTCTGGACTATATAGATTATCAGAAATGAGCACAATTATTAATGGAATATTTATCTGAATATTGCAATTTTAAGAAGAATAAAACAAGCTAAATAGTTGTTAAAAAAAAAAAAAAAAAGAACTTCCATCACCTATTCTTCTGTTTGTGTTCAAGTGAAAACCAACGTTCCAGACATTTATAAGGGCATGATAAAATCTGAACAGGTGGAGTTCACAATGGTCTCATTCTTCCAAAGAGCTTCCTTAAGGACATAAGCCGCACACCACGATGATTGGACTATTGTGTGCTAGACGGGCATTTGAGACAAAGACCTTAAAGTTCTTTGCCCTTTTAGTGTCCCCTAAGAGAGCATTGGGGAAAACCCACAACAGCCACTCTGAAAGTGGTGCCGCTTCCCACGCTAAGTCAATGACAATTAATTGACAGACCTACATTATTTTTTTTTTTTGTAAAAAAATATATTTTATTGATTTTTCACAGAGAGAAAGGGAGAGGGATAAAGAGCTAGAAACATTGATGAGAGAGAAACATCAACCAGCTGCCTCTGCACACTCCCTACCAGGGATGTGTCCGCAACCAATGTACATGCCCTTGACCGGAATCAAACCTGGGACCTTTCAGTCCGCAGACCGACACTGAGCCAAACCCGGTTTGGTGACCCACATTATTTCTATATGCTGAGGCCATATCCAAGGCAGAGGTTGCAAAGAACAAAACAGCACGTGGCCTACAAGAAAATGGTGGCAGCAATCGATTCTAAATGAGCCAAAGCAAATTTAGTTTCTCCAAAAAATAAAAATCTTTTTAAAATATTCATTTTAGATGAGAGTTACTGCTGCTACTTAAATTGGCCAAGCTCCTACTCCTTTAAGTTTCAAGCCGGAGGGTATCCTCTGAGCAGAATTCTTGGCTTTGTGGTTAAAGGCAGTATTATATTCTATTTTATGAAATCTTGGTAGAGAAGGAAAAAAATAGTTTGCAGTTCCAATCCTGGTAGGATATATAAGATGCAGTTGTCTAAAACAGCTTCATTCAGCAATTTTTATGCCAAACACTAAAAATATGAGTAAGCCCAAAACTGAGGATTTTAAATTCCTAATTCATGTTCAACGTTTCCAACCATACTAGTATAAGATGGCAAGGCAAGCAAAAACATGTACCCACACACCAATTGAAATTGGATGGAAAATATTTTTGTGCTAAACATAGGAAAAGGAACCAGCAATAAAGTTTTAATAACTACCCCGAGGAGTAAGTAAAAAGGCTAAAATTAGTTAAGAGACTCTCTTGGATATTGACATTTGTCATTCCCTGTTACACCAGGGGGGTTAGTAAAACAGGATTATATATTGCCTTCTGTGACTGCCCACAGAATTAAACAGTTCTGTAGGGAATAGTATTTCTATGTTTAAAACAATATAAATATATGTTTACATATTATAATAGTTATTATAGTTACAGAAGAGAATTTGACTTATAAATTTTAGCAATGCTAAAGTGTGTGTGCGCGTGTGTGTGTTTAAATCAAAACAGGAGAAATAAGAGAAGTTATAAGAATGCTAATCTCCCTTCATCTTTAAAAAAAAAAGTAAACACTGTCTACAGTTAATTCAAGGAATATATATATTAGTATATGAAACAAAGTGGTAATAACTTAAGAACCTTGTAAAAGAGGTAGCTACATCTTAGGAATCTGGGGGAGGGCAGTATAAGGAAGGACAGAGAAAAACTGACTCCTCGCTTTGACCCTTCTGCCAACAGACTTTATTGTCCAAACATTGATATTAACATGGCCTTAATGGTTTTGTTTTCTTTTCATTAATTTTATTTACATAGGCTCAGAAAGAGAACAAAATTTTAACAAAAATGAAATGGCCAGTTTGTCCAGCCAGTGTTGAGCTTCAACCCATGAACCAGGGTTCAATTCTTGGTCAGAACATATGCTGGGGTTTGGGGCATGATCCCCAGTAGGGGGCATGTAGGAGGCAGCTGATCAATGATGTTTTTATCTCTCTCTCTCTGAAATCAATAAAAAATAAAAGGAAGGAAGGAAGGAAGGAAGGAAGGAAGGGAGGGAGGGAGGGAGGGAGGGAGGGAGGGAGGGAGGGAGGGAGGGAGGGAGGAAGGAAAGGAGGGAGGGTACTGCCAGTTTGGATATAAGTTAAAATAGAGTGCTAAACATGCAATTGGGGTGGCCTGAAACTGTCTGGTTGAAGGTTCTCAATATTCACAGCACAAGTTGTTTTTATAACAGATATGTCCCAGGGACTGACTCATCACTGCAGAATATTGAAGCAAACATCTCCATAAGGTGAAAATGGGAGATTAAACAGAAGAAAAAGGGGGGTTATAGAGAAAATGTTATGCTTTGGGGCATACATCTGATCAGCAATCAGTGATAAAGAAGACTTTCCTATCACCCCTTCCCCAACACCCGTTTCCTTTGCTAGTAGCTGGGAGAATGTCAGATACGATTTTTTACAGTAAAATATCTAGAGGAGAAGATTCTCCTTGATAAGTGATTTTTTTTTTTTTTAACAGAAGGCCTTGGAATATAGATTTTTCAAATTCAGATAAAAAGTTTCCTAAGGAAATTCTACCTGTGGGATATGTGAGCTTCTAATAGAGATGATTTCTGAAATAGATTTCACGGCAAAATTTAGAAGTCTTAATTAGCTTGTTTTTGAGACATTTGGCTTTGACTTTTATGAATAAAATGAGAATACAAATGCTCAGAACCTTGACAAGGTAAGACCCAACAGAATGGGATAGCTCCCTGCTAAGCTGAAAATACCTGGGGAACTACTGACCCATTCACAGAACCAGTTTTTTAAAATGTGATCTATGTTCCTCGTGTTCTGATAGGTACCAGATACTAAGATGAACATGCCATGGAGCCTACAGAGAGTGAGCACAAGGAACTCAGGAATCAATTAAAGGCAAAACGTGAAAAGAAAAAAATTCTACAAGATAAATGTCATAATAGCAATAATGAGGCACAGGTTTGCTGGAAATGGGGAGGGGGGTAATAAGCAGAGTCCTAGTTAATTACAGAAAGAGCAATGACATCTTTAAGGACTCAATTATATAATTCTTAGATATAAGGATTTACTGAGCACTTATCTCAGTGAATGAATACTAGCTTATCCTATATAAGGCTAATGTGCAAACTGCCCCCTCGGAAGTTCAACCGACCCAGAGTTTGACCACTCGCTATGATGTGCACTGACCACTAGAGGGTGGCATAGAATGAAGGAAGGCCCCGCCCGCAGCCAGGGAAAGGAAGGCCCTAATTGGCCCTGATCACCAGCCAGGCCTAGGGACTCTACCTGTGCACAAATTTCATGCACTGGGCCACTAGTATAATAATTCACAAAAAAAAAAAAAATTTAGGATCTCATATATATAAGAAAGAGATCTTAAAAACTTGCATAGAAGAAATTGACAAAAACATACAATAGTTCAAGGAAAATGGCATTAGACCTCTCAATTGCAGTCTTCTCAACAATGATATTGAAGCAAAACCATCAAAATTCTTCCCAAGCTAAAATTCTATACCCAGCCAGATTACCACTCGACTACAAGCCCAGAATGGCATTTTCATACCTGCAAATAATAGAAGACTTAAAACAAAGATCTTTGTTTTAAGACTTCTAGCATTATTTGACTAATAGCTTTATTTTGAAACTATAGTTCGTACACATTTTCAACTGTTAGCTTATTTTGGTCTGCACATAAGAATACATTTTCTAGACTCAGAAATTGTGAATGGGATGTACCCTTGGCTACCACATTCTTTCCCTAGTAAAATATGAGATCATGATATAAAAAAAAAATCCCACAAAACAATAACCTTTATTCTTTTTAAGTATTTTAGAAACAATATCCTATGCAGGTATATAATATCATCCCTTGCTTAAAGATGAGGAAATTTAAGCTTAAAGAGGTGACTTTTCAAAGGTGTCACAGACAACATAAAGTAGTAGAACTCAAATCTATCTCTAATGCTATGTTCAGGAGTCTCCTCTTGACATGTATGTAAGAACTCTGTGCACAATATTTATGGCTTAATGTTTTAATATCTCATTCTTTCTTTGCACACAGGAAACTGTTTCCTTTCAAATCATCAAAAGCACTCTGTTATCCCTTTTCTCCACCCTAATGACAACCTAGCTATTCATGTCACCTCGAGCACCTGGCCACTGTAGCTCAGCCCCTTGCTCTTTTCCAGGCAATCCTGAAGAACTGGAATATAGGTTCCAAAATAAACAATGACTTACATTCTTAGAGCGCTGGCAAAGGCAAATTCTAATTACTCATGAGAAAGAAACTTGTTGAGCCCAGCCTGTGTGGCTCAGTAGTTGAGCATCAACCCATGCACCAAGAGATAAACAGCTGGATTCCCTGGTCAGGACACATGCCTGGGTTTGATGTTTCTATCTCTTTCTTCCTCTCTCTCTAAAATCAATTTTTAAAAAAAGAAACTTCTTGATTTTTTTTTTCTTAACCTAAGAGTAAGAAGGAAAACAGATAATTAGACAAAAGAGACTTCATATGCTACATACAGCAGGAAGGCTCCTAATGTATTTTACTTGTTCATCAATGAAATCATGCACACAGCTTCCCTTTCATGCCTTTTTCTAAAGCAAACAGACAAGAAAATTCCCAGACACACATGCACTCAGACACACACACACTGTCTGCGACCTTAGACTCTTCGCCCCTCCTTTAGACTTGTGGACCTGAATAGGCTCCGTATGAATTGGTAACAGTCCTAACTGGAAAAAAAACCTGTGCTCTAGGTGACTCTATGATGTGAGAATTGCAAAGAAACAGTGTAATGACCATCTGGCTACTTACTCCGCAGTACCGGTCACCATTAAATATCTGCGGCGGCAACGGGTTGCCCTGAGCGGGCTTCTTTTCTGGGGGCACGTTCTTGTACATCCACTGCCTCTGTTCTTCCGACATCGTGATGTCCACCTCCTCAAACTCTATCTTGTTGGCTTCCAGGAATCTAACCACATCTTGCTGCTTCTTCTTTATCTAAAAAGAGAAGACACAGAAGGAGAAATGCTCATCTGAACAATATGTATATATTTCCAAGTTGAACTAGATTTCACTTCCCATTGTCAGAGGTCACTAATAAAAATTAAAAAAAAAGCGATTTACATAGGCACCATGCACTGCCCCCTCTTGTGAATATCCAGCAGAGGTCTAAGCCAGTCCTGACACAGTCATTTCTTCACCTAGACTCCCCAGAACTGGGGCACATCTCAGATTGCCTGGAGATTCACACAGTTCTTAGGGGGCCAACTCCATTCCCCCTTCCCACCCACAGGAATTGACATTTATAGTCATGAGCACTCTCTCTGTTGAAAACTATATATAGCCCATCTGAGAGGTCGACATTTTATTGATTCCCGGGAGCAGCAACATTTTCATTCCCCTCAGAAGCCTCCTTCAGATATTCCTCAGCTGCAGCCGTGGGCACGAAAGCATCCTTTTATCAGTTCACAAGAGAAAAGTGTTCTCCACTCTGAAGTAAGAGTAAACAGCAAGCACCATTTTATTATGAACTCTATTTCTTAACCCTTTTCATTCTTCTGATCTTTCATGTTTCCTTCCTCAGTCACTAGGGGTCAGGTGTGTTCTCGAAGAGCTGCAAACACATTTGCAGTCCTTGAAATGTTACCAATTTCTTAAGGATCTATATTAATTATTTTAGGTTAATACTAGGGATACATCAAAGATAGACCCATAAAGCTTTTTTCCATCCGTACCTCCCTGCCCTGAACAAATAAATAAATACCCGCCCCCCCCACCCGCCCCCCCCCCACACACACACAGCATTTATTGCTGGATTATAATCCGCTACAGCTTAATTGGTCTTTTCTTTCACTGGGTCATACTAGGTAAAATAGCTGGACATTGCCTGGCCAATGTGGCTCAGTGGTTGAGCATTAACCCATAAACCAGGAGATCAGTATTTGAATCCCAGTCAGGGCCACATGCCTGGGTTTTGGGCACGATACCCATTAAGAAGCATGCAGGAGGTAGTCAACTGATGATTCTCTCTCATCACTGATGTTTCGATCCCACTCTCCCTCTGCCTTCCTCTCTCTGATATCAGTAAAAACAAAACAAAACAAAAAAATAGCTGCACCTTGTTCCTTTCACTAAACAATATATCACGAATATGGTCCCATCATTAAAAGTTTCCAAGATATGACCTGGTCAGCATGGCTCAGTGGTTGAGCATCTATCCATGAACCAGGAGGTCACAGTTCGATTTCCAGTCTGGGTACATGTCTGGGTTATAGGCTTAATCCCCAGAGTGGGGCATGCAGGAGGCAGCCAATCAATGATTCTCTCTCATCATTGATGTTTCTATCCCTCCTTCTCCTTTCCTCTCTAAAATCAATCTTAAAGAAGAGTTTTCAAGAGTATGAATTTTAATGTCTCCATGGCAATTTCATCATGCATATGTACAGTTATCTGTTGCTGGATGTTTAGCATACTTGTAACTTTCACCACTAGGAATAATATCATGGGGAACATCTTTATTTACAAATCTCCTACTGTTTCTCACAATACTTTAGGACAAAGTCATATGAATGAAAGGGCAGACCAGGCATAAATTTCTTTGCAACAAGGCTACATCAGTCAAGAAGTACAACCTTGTTATAAAATAAATAAGTACTAGGGATATAAACAGCATGGTAACTATAGTTAAAAATACTGTATTGTATTTGGAATTTGCTAAAAGAGTAGAAGATCTACAGTTTTCATCATAAGAAAAAAGAATAGTAACAAATGTGGTGATGGATGTTAACTAGACTCATTGTGGTACGTAGTAGTAACACCTGAAACTAATATAATGTTGTATGTCAATTATACCTCAATAAAAATGCAAGGCCACATCTATTTACATTCCCACTAGCAATAATTGAAAATATCCATGTCTCAGCACCTTTCCTTATAGGCAATATTTCAAAGTTGTACTGTAGAAGATTAAAGTTCAAACAATGTGAGGAACTGGATGTTAACTTATTATACTCATTATATGTATCACAATATATCCATACCTCAAATCATTACATTGTACACCTTAAACTTACATAGCATTATGTCGATTATCTATAATAATCTATAATAAAAGCATAATATGCTAATTAGACTGGATGTCCTTCCAGACGAAGCCTGGGCTGTGTGGGAAGCCCGGGTCCCAGGTGCCAGAGAGAAGTCAGTGCCAGCAGCTGGGGGAAGGAAGGCCTACCCTTACACAGTTTTTGTGCATCGGGTCTCTAGTATCTCCATAAAACTAAAAAAAAAAAAAAAAGAGAAATGGTTTTTGTTCTAAAAAAATTTCAAATCACCATGAAACACTGACAATGCTTAAGACGCAAAAGACAGTTCCTCACTGACAATGATAATGACTGACAGTCATGTAAGGAGTAAAATGTATTTTTTAAAAGGGCAAGCAAGGGGAGGCATGGCCAGGCTTGTGTTTCAAGATCACTTTAATACAATGCAACTTAAAAAGAAAAAAGGAGAAATTGTTTTACCATCCACAAACACTGTTATGAAAAGATTTCCAAGATATATATTATATGAAGTGAGAAAACAAGAGCAGAATTCTAAGTAGACTAAGCACATTCTTCTGAAAAGAAAAAGGGAGAAAAATAGGAACATATTTGTATTTGCTTGTATTTTAAAAACTCTTGAAGGTTATCAAAGAATGAACAAAAGTGGTTGCTTAGGGGTCAGGGTGATGGGGACAAAGTGGAGACAAGACTTTTCACTTTCTACCTGTATAAACTTCAGACGTTTTTGAAGAGGGTGAATGTGTCACGGGTCAGAAGGTTAAGCATAAGAAACCTGTTTTGAGAGAGAACCGCACGTGTGCCTTACTGAGGGGAGCAGGGGTGCAGGCCAGAGAGAGGCGGTGTTTTACCTAAGTCAGGACTCCCAGCAGGGCATGAAGCAGGACTCACAGCATTTTGTTATTCATTGGCTCCCATGTTTCTTTACACTTAAAAGAAAGGCCAGCCCGATTTGGATCAGTGGATAGAGCATCGGCCTGAGGACTCAAGGGTCCCAGGTTCGATTCCTGTCAAGGGCATGTACCTTGGTTGTGGGCACATCCCCAGTGGGGGGTGAGCAGGAGGCAGCTGATCGATGTTTCTCTCTCATCAATGTTTCTAACTTTCTTTTTTTTTTTTTTTTTTTTAATATATTTTATTGATTTTGTACAGAGAGGAAGGGAGAGAGATTAAGAGCCAGAAACATTGATGAGAGAGAGTCATCGATCAGCTGCCTCCTGCTCACCCCCCGCTGGGGATGTGCCCACAACCAAGGTACATGCCCTTGACCGGAATCGAACCTGGGACCTTTCAGTCCCCAAGCCGACACTCTATCCATTGAGCCAAACCGGTTTCGGCAATGTTTCTAACTTTCTATCCCTCTCCCTTCCTTTCTGTAAAAAATCAATTATATATATATTTAAAATAAATAAATAAAAGAAAGGCCAGATGGTTAAAATAACATTTTAGAAAAGGGTTAAGGCCAGAAAATTAACTAATGCGACAGCAGGTCACTCAAATAAACAAAAAGGAGACATTCCACCCAGAGAAGGAGGTTTTCAAGTGGATGTTTGTGACATTAACATCAGGAAGGAAGATGAGTCACGCAGAGCACTGTTTTTGAGATTTGCCTTAAGGTGACTGCAGCCTGGAACAGAGTGAGCCTGGGCTTGAGTGGCAGGGGGCCGCCCGCCTCAGAAGGCGAGCCCTTGGGAGCCCCCAAGCCCTGGGTAATGGAAAAGCTTCCCGTGTGGCAACAGGAAGCCATCAAGGGCCTTGCGTGTGCTGGGCACAAATCCAGGATTCAAATCACAGTAACTTATAGAGTCATTTCCTCAGCACAAAGAGCTCTCTTCTCCTATGTGACTGTTCTGAAACTACGTGTACCTTACAGCCAGTATCAAAATAAATTTGAGAGGCAAATGGAAGAGAATTGTTGGATAACAGACATTGCATTCACCCACATCAATTTAGCCAGGAGTAGAAGGGAGGTCCTTATAACTCTATTAAACACACTTAGAAGCCAGGGCGCACAGTGCAATTTACCCAGTAGCCATCTCTCTTTCTTTCTTAATACAGAAGTCTGGTTCTGTTTGGAAAAGTAATGTGCTCAGCTACAGAATGTGTTTATCCACACTCCTCTGCAGCTTGGGGGGATCACATGACACAGCTCTGGCCAATCTGATGTAAAGAGCATCTGAGCAGGAGCATCTGCTTCTGGGATGGCTCCACGTATGAATGGAAAGACAAAGTCCATTCTGCCCTTCTCCTTTCCCTGGGAGGTGACGAAACCATTTTGAAAACGTGAAAACGAACGCCGTATGCGAAGGTTGGTCAAAGAGAAGGACAGGAGCCTGCGTCCTTGATGACATTTTGCAGGTGTCGCACCAGTCTTCTGCAGCGGACTCTCAACCCCTGTGCACTGGACAGACAGACCCCTAATCAGTTGAGCCACTCTGTATCAAGTTTTCTATAGTTTGAATCTAAATGCAATGCTACCTAAATTCTTAATTGCTACTTACAATGTCTTCGAAAATATTGTAGTGTGATGGACTGAAAATAAAAGCTTTTACTGCACAGCAGAGCCTAGAAATAAAAGCTGCAAAATATGAATTTAACAGAAGTGAACTTAATATCTGTCACTGGATGAACAGATGAATTTTCATTTTCTTTGAAAACCAACAGCAAAGTTGTTGAACCCACAACAGGGAGATATCTACAGAAGCACGAAAGGTGCCTTCCATCTCACCTACCGTTCAAACATGTGCCCTTACACATCATCCAAAGCTGTTAAAGAGAACAGACACTGCTACAGCCTCAGGCTGCTTCCAGGTAGGTAAGCTATGGCCCACAGGCCCAATCTCGTCTTTATACTTTTTAAATTATTGAAAAAAGTCAAAACAATATCTCATGACAAAATAAAATTTCATGTATTCTATGAAATACAAATTTCAGTGTCCA